TATATATATATATATATATATGGGAATGCTAATATACTCCACCTATTTTTTAGTGGGAGTATATTAACAACCTACACCAAAATTTTAGAACAAAAAAACCAGTCATTTCTTTTAATTTAGTTAATTCGTACAAAGGATATTATAGTAATTTAATTTTATTTTAAAATAAAATTAAATATTTTCTCTCTTATTAACTTCATTCATTAAGTCATTTCTTTTTTCTATTAATTAATTTTTATTTGTTCAGAGAGAGAGGGGGAGACATCATGAAAGATGAGAGAGAAATGAATTAAAGAAAGAATTTAATAGGAGAGAGATAAATAAGTTAGAGAAAAAATTTAATAGGAAAGATGAATGGGTTGAAGAAGGAATTTAATAGGAGAAAGGAATGACTTAGTGAAATAAATTAATAAGAAAAAAAAAATATTTAATTTTTATTTAAAATTAAATTAAATTATTATAATATCCTTTATAGAAATTAACCAAATCAAAAGAAATGAGTGATTTTTTTGTCCTAAAATTTTAGTGTAGGTTACTAACATACTCTCACTAAAAAATAGGTGGGAGTATCATATATATATATATAAATTAAAAATTTTAGTTTATAAAATTATTTATAATTTTTATGATATAAACAATTTGTTTAATTTTTTTTTTTTAAGTTAAAAAATCTCACTTTAGGAATTTATATGTGTGTGTGGAATTCAAAAAAAAAAAGTCATTTTTTTATCAAACAAACAATAAAAAAAAAAACTTAACAATTTCATCCTATTTCATTCATTTCTGTTTCAATTATTTTTATTTACATTCAAATAAAATAGGATAAGAAAATACAGATACACTCAGGTCCCTAACGTCTCAGCTTAAAAAGGAGTTAGGTAAAAATAACGAGATTCTTTTTAATAATGTTTAAGGCTTTTTTATCCGTGAATTATCCATCTCTTTGTTTAAGTTCAAGGTATGTATGTAGGCTAGGCTATATTTGGTTGAATAGTGCAAAATATTGCATCGTAGAGCTCAGCTCATGTGTTTTTTTCGACTTAAATATGGGCTAGGTACACAAGCTGATTTAGACTCAGTTTATGAGCCTCCAAATTTGAAAACGGGCCGAAACGTACTATAGGGGGTCCGTTCCTATTGTTACACAAAAAAAAGGCCCCAAATCAAACAATAAATTTAAAATATTCTAATTTAATATGTTATTTCGGAAAGTGACTAATTTGTTCAAAAAGTCCCCCTTTACTTACTTCGCTCTATTGAGGCTAATATCAAAGATATTAAAAGTTAAAAGTTTGAAATGACTAAACTAACCTTAAAAAAAAAAACTGTAACCACTAACAAGAAAGAAACCCCCAAAAGGCAAAAGCAAAGGAGATGGTGAAATTACTCAGATGCCACGTTTGACACTCGGTGCTAGTAAGCACTTATCCCTTGATGTAAAAGGGAAAACTTTTTTTTAGAGGGTTGAAAAGGTGACAATGACAAAAACCGTTGTTAAAGCCCGTAACCTAGATATATAATTGCACTTTTGGGAGACAAATTAGAGGGAAAAGGATGGCATAATCCAAAAGAACGAATAAAGCACAATTAATTAATTACGGTTTTAAGCTTTTAGGGGTTTAAGGTTTTAAGATTAAGACGACGAGGAAAACAAACTGACCTTGTCGCAGCCTGGGACCAGCTCTTGTAAAAGCTTCATGCGAGCATTGATCTTCTCTCTCCTAGCCTACATAAGAAAAGAAACTCAGTTACACATACTTACATCATAAAAAATTATTAAAAAATAAAATTCGGTAAAATACCCTAAAGTGATGAAAATTAAACAAATTAATTAGTGATTAATCAAAGCGTTTACCCTTTCTGCCAAGCTATGGCTGTCTGTGGCTTGACCTCGACGAACTCGAACGTGGACGTAGGGAAGCTTCTCGCCGTCACCGGAAGTATCATCGGCGGCGCTCTTACTCTTCTTCGACGATCCTTTAACCTGAATTCCACAAAACAATCTATTATTTCACGTTTTGAGCATTCAATTCAACGGATAGCAGAAACCCTAATTCTCGGATTAGTCGCAATCAGAACATTACCGTTACCTTCTTCTCTCGCTCCTTCCTCTTCGCGGTCCTCTGATTCTTGTTCTCGACCGCGGGATCCGAAACGCAACCATGCGTCGAGGACGGGTTCGAATCGGTCTCTTGCGGCTCGTTCTTCACCAAATTCCAACCGGACGCGGCCGGGACCAGGCGCGCGTCTCCCGGCGGCGGTGGCGAGTTATCGCCGGCGAACACGGAGAACTTGGCGGCGCGTTCGATTAAGGCGGCGTTGGAAGGGAAAGTTAAATTGGTGGTGCCGAAAGAGTTGAGCTGGAAGGGCTTCTGATTCGCGCTGACGTGGCAATTAGGCGGTTTGCGAGCGGCGGCGTTGTCGGAGTCCGGCGAGTGAAGGAGCTCCACCGCCTGCGTGGGGGGGAGCTCGAGCAGCGCGGTGAAGGAGCTAGCGTTTTCCGGCGCCATGATTCCCTGAATTTCTTCGTTGAATTGAATGGAGTCGAGTGTGGTGCCGTCGTGCACGGATCCGCGCAATCCTCCCGGAGCTTGCTCCATTGAGCGAACAAAACGCAGAGTGGAACCGTAGAAGATCCAATTGAACCGTAGGCACCTGAATTGTGGTAATTGGAGGAGTTGTGAGTGGAAATTGGAGAAAATGAGTGTGTGCTTCAATGGCGGTCAATGAATTTCTCTCTCTATCTTTTTCTCTCCGGTTCTGTGATTCTGTCTCTGAGATTGCTTCTCAGCCATTTGAAGTACTGCGAAAGCAACGTTGCTACGCTACGGTTACTCTGCTACTGTTGAATCATACGCGTACGGTTCTAGCCACAGTTTTGTTGAGGTAAGGTTGGGACCACCACCTACTGAGGGCCCCATGATGTGAGAATATCATTTTTTTTATTTTTTTTTATTTCACAAACATTGATTTCAGTTCGATACCCTTCCTTCGATCTCCACCGTTCATTTTCTTAACTCATAATGTGTTTCCTCCTTTTTACGATTACGGAGATTCGATTACACCCCGTTCAAGTGTTGGACCATTCCGTTGAGAATTTTTCATAATAAGGTATCCATCGGAAAAGTGATTGACATTATAAAGCAGTTTTGCTATATTTGGGTCATTGAAAGCGCTTCTAATTCATTCATTATCTCTTTATGGAAGTTCTCATCTTGCCTAATCTCCTTCCTTCAATAATTTATTACTTCCCCCAATAACGTGCTTCACATGAGGATAAAGTTAGCGCTAAAATTCCTATGATCAAAAAGTTTGGCTTTGTTTTTAACTCCCCACTCAATAGTAAAATCATTTTCATTTTAACTTAATACTCTCTCTTGACTTCTAAGTGAGAAATTATAATTGTGGAAAAAATTATATAATACTTTATGCAATATTTATCTTTCTATGATATATTATTTTCTCAGTATTCTAAATTATAAGCAAATGTTAACTAATTTTGTAATATTTAGTAATATCATTTTTAAAATATTTCTTATTTAATAAAAATTTGGTTCTTAAAGATTTTTTTATTTTTAATATCAAGCTGTAACGAAAACACAATTTAGGAAAGTGTACTTTTAAATAAAATTAGTAAAATTAAAAGATAATAATTAATTTTCTTAATTAGTATATGAACAGAGTTTATTTAGATTTGAATTATACATTACTAACAAATCTCGAGTTATTTGTGAATTTTGTTAGATCCAATATTTCTTTGCAAATTTTGGTTTGCTTAAAATAATTTTCAGTGATTGAGAGAGTCATTTCTGCAATTGGAACATGCACGTTTTGTTTCATAACTATGGGGTTGTACACAAAGTTTCTACAACTTATCATCTCTAAATTAATAGGCAAGCTAAAGTTTTAATAGAGAGATAAAACAGATTTTGTAGAAGATAGTTTACCTCAATAAGAAATACTCGAGTAGGATGTTGGAGGATGTTGTTTGGGATAATAGGATGGTTTACATGACACTGATTGGGATGTCCCCTTATCGGATTGTCTTTAGTAAAACATGTCACCTACCTGTAGAGGCTGGGTATCATGCCTAATGGATGATCAAGAATTGTAACTTAGTATTTGACCAAGTGAGCTTATAAAGAAAGCTTCAATTGCAAGAACTTGAGGAGTTTCGCTTAAAGGTCTATAAGAACTCCAAGAACTACAAGAAGAAAGTCAAACACTTACATGATAGTATGATATTGAGGAAGAAGTTTAAAGCTGGACAAAAAGTATTTTTATTCAATACTCACCTAAAACTTATAATCGGTAATCTTCGTTCTAAATGGGATAGATCTTTTGTTATTGTTAATGTTTTTTCTCCATGGTGCAGTTGATATCAGGAATGACGTTGCCAAAAAAACTTTCAAAGTACATGGTCAACGATTCAAAGAATTCCATGAGAGTCGTTAGTTAAAAGAGGAGGATGTGGAGAACATATTATTAAAAAGATATATATTGTTTTCTATATTTTGTATTTTATTTTTATGTCTGTTTTTTGTTTTTTGTTTACTATTCTTGTATTAGTTTTTGTAATATGTTTTTATTTTACTTTTTATTTATGTTTTTGTATTTTCTCTATTTTTTATATTTATTTTTACCATACAAATTCTCTTCATCTTTTTCTTCATTTCATATTTAATTTTCGTTCTCACGATGATGAATTTCATTTTAATTAGATTTGGAATCGAGATATAAGTTCATTTTTGGATCTAGATCTAAAATAACTTAAATTGCATAAATCAATTGTTTACCATTTTTGAATTTCATGAAAATTGTGAGATTGTGATTTCATTTTATGTTTTTTATGAAATTCAATAGATTTAAATACAAATTTACATTTTAATTATGTTCGTATTAATTTAAGGTTGATTGAATTCACATTATATTTTGAACCGTTAAAATTTTACTGTAAGGATTGAAATCTTGAATTGACACAAATTTTTATTAAAATTTTTGATTTTTTTTTGCATTTTTAATATTCAATTATTGTTTTGCTATCTAAAATCCCTTTTCCTGACATTTACATGATAAATTCAAAATTTAATCAACTTGTGTATTTTATAATGGTTGTTCCTTGTATTATAAATTTAAGGAGAAATCTAATAATTTTTTTGTAGTGATTCGGTAACACTATTAAAAACATGTTCTCATTCGAGTAAAAACTCAGATGGATTTTCCAAATATAAAATCAAGGTCGATAAGTTCTCATTTGGTCAACAAGTTATCATCTGAGAAGCTGACAAGTTCTCATCAAAGTAAAAATTCTCGGACTTTTCCAAACATAAAATCTTGGTCGATAAGTTCGCAATCGAGAAATCGACATGTTTTCATTTGAAAAAAAAAATTATTGGATGGGTTTTTTCAAATATAAAATTTCAACCAACTAGTTACCATTCAAGAAGTCGACATGTTATCACCCAAGTAAAAACTCACATGGATTTTCATAAGTATAAAATTGACTGACAAGTTCTCATCCAACCGACAAGTTCACATCAAGAAGCTAACTTATTCTCATTCGAATAAATACTTTTGGATGATTTTTTCCAGGTATAAATTCTAATTGTAAAATCTTAGTAAAATTGACTAAATAAAATTTTTAGTCGATAAATTTCAAGTGATGTTTTTAACAATTAATTCTAATACAAAAATTTCACTCAATCAAGAAGGTAGCTATTGCTTAATGGGATTGAATTTTCAGTCATGACATGATAAAGTGATAAACAAAACCTATCATTTTTTAGTTAAAATTTTTATAGATGCACTTTAAATAGTTAAACTTCTTCTTTCATAAGCTCGAGACTTGATCATGTATCGGATATGACCAAATAATAAATAAATGAGGAGAAAAATATAATATAATATCCAATTATTACTCATTATTTAAAGATTTTAAATATTCTTTAGTGTATCATCTATTATTTATAATTTTGCACTTCATCCTCAGAAGAAAACCAAAGACTTTCAACAACTTTGAACGAGTACTTTTCCAACAAATACAATTACCTTCCTCAATAAATTAACATAAAATGATGCATAAATAAGTACTTTTTGCTTTAAAAACTTTGTTTTTTTTTTTTTAAATTAGTTTGGACTTGTTAGCTTAACTAGCCCAATGAGAACTAGTACACTTCGTTCACTCCGAAAAAAACGAAGCATCTCAACATCAATGAAAATCAATCAAGGCGATGAAAATTGGTGTGAAAAACTAGTTTGAATCAACGTTTTCATTTTTTTTTAATCTTTTGTTTAATTTTCTAAAATATTTTTAAAATGAACAAGCCATATACGCAAAATAAATTATTTTATTAACTATTATCACTTTTCATCTTATAAAACATATGATTTAGTTATTTATATTAATTAATAATTTTTCAATCCCAATTTCTCATAATTTATACTATTTCGTTATTTAAAATATTTTATAATATTAAAATATAAATTTTATTATTACATGATCAACCACGCTTTAATTATGATTAGTCTATTAAATATTGAATCACTGTTTTCATTAGTTTAATTATTGGTCCAATTTTACAAAAAAAGCATTATTAAAATTGATGATGCACGTTAGTGTTAGGATGCCAAACCAAACACCAATTAAGTGAACTGGGGATTTCTAGAAAATCCTCAGTAAAGTCTTGAAGTATCCATGAAAACATATTGAAATTGTAGTTGATGAGTTAGTTTTGAATTTTGTTCAACAAAAGAAATATAATCAACGATTAGATTGTTTATTACAAAAATTACATCTTATAATTATGAGAATATTTCATTTTTTAATTCTAAATATTACAAGAATAACAACAAAATTTAAATATGAGATCTTCTGTTTATTATTTCAGCCTCTTTCACTAAAAGAATATATCATATATAATTTTATGTTTTTTCAAATAGTTAATACTTGTAAATGTAATTGAATTTTAAATTCAAGTCATTTTATTAATTTTTTTTGGATAACACTTATTCTTATCTTAATTATAAGCATATTATGATTGTTGTTCTTGTGGAGCTTTCTATCATGTCATCAACTTTAGGCTTAGACTTTGTTTGATAAAAAGTTAGAGAAGATGAGAGGGGGAGGGGGTGAGGAGGGAAGGGGCACGAACCGTGAAAGTGGAGGTCACAATTAATTGAATCAATTAAATAAATAGTTTAAAACTTAATTATATAATTAACTCATTGAAATTGGTTCATATTTATACTAAAAATTGACCTTAATACATGAATGAGTCAAATTTGAGTTATGTATAATTTGACTTATTTAATTTATAGATCGATTCAACATATAAATATATAATTTATATAATTAATTTTTTTTAATGTAATTTTAACTTATTAAAATTTGAAAGATCTTTCAAAGCTATATGAGTTCATAATAATAAAAGAAGTGGACTAGACACCTTAAAGCTTTATGGTTATAGATTGAATTTTGCATTATTTTATGTAAGATGAGTTAATTTTTATTTATGCAAACTTTGATTGTAATTATGTTTCTTGGAAATTACACCTTGTAACCTTATCTTGTTAAACTAATAAAATAAGTTATGTTTTAATTTTTAAATTAAATAATTATTTTATTTAAGATCTATTAATAAAATATAATTTTGAAATATGTGAGATTAATAAGAATTGACTCTTAATTCATGTGATTTGAGTTAACAAGATAAATTGAGTTGTTAGTAAGCTCAAATTAAGTTGAATTCAAGTTTTAAAAAAAAGTTATAGGTTCACGTCGAATTCAAGTCAAATTTCAACTTAAGTTCAATATTATTAAGACAAATCAAACTAAATCGAACTCGACTCATTTTCAGCCCTACTAATTAGTAACATATATAATTTTATATTTATTTATTTATTTTAGAGAATAAATAATTTAAAATATAAATAATAAATATAATTATTATAATAAATAAAATAATAATAAAAATATTTAATAAGTTAAATTTTATTTAATTCGATGTTAAATAATTAAAAAAATATATTCTCTTCTATTTTTCTTTTAAAACAACTTTATTTTTACTATATTTCTTACTTGTCTCCCATAATATTTTTTTTCTTTTTTTTTACCAAACATTGCGTTTGAATGAAAAACATAAATGTACGATGTAATCTAATGATTTTTGAAAGGACCTTCTTGTATGATAACAAAGTGACACAACAACAAAATTGTTATAGTTCACACAAAGTAAGGAGTCAAATCATTTATTTACGTTGAAATTGATTTTGACTTCTTCAATAACTAATACACATTGGCTAATATGTGGAATAAAATTATTTCATTCGATATTTATTTAATCTTATGTAAGACATATCACTAGCTACTGTCATCTCATTTTGATTAAAATGCGTACAATAACATACACGAAATACATGTCTATAACATAATAACTAATTTTGTAAGGTAAATTGATTTTTCAAATATCTTTTCATGAAGGTTTCAAAAAAATAAAATTCCATGATGTCATAAGTAGATGAATTATCAAAAAATAATGTATTTTCTTAAATAACTTCAATCTAACAGTGAGACATGTTACAAAAACTGATAAATTTACTATTTAACTTCTAAACCTTGTGAATTAAATGATTTGTCAAATATTTGTAATTTACAATAATACAAGTTGTTCACAAATAAGAAGTTAAACAAATCTTAGTTGAAACATTAGACATACCAGTTTAAGCTCCTCTTATCTTTCATGTATAAATGCAAAACATAAACTTTAAGTTTCTCCTTATATATTAATTATCTCTTTTATTATATATTTAATACTTTATCCAACTTCTGCTCCTTTTAAATTCAACAAATTTAAAAGGTAATTATCTCATTTGCATAAGTCGAGTAAATGCCGAGTAATCCCCTTATAAGTGAGGGGAATCGAATTAGCTAGTCTAATCGGGTTATGACCGACTAGGTCTGTGCTGACCCTTCAATTAATAAAATTTTCTCTATACATATCTTCACTTCCTTGACGTCTTCCGCAGGGGCAGGTCGATGATCAAACTGACCCATTCTAGGGTCCAGCTCGATGGAATGAATGTGTCTTTCAACAGGTGTGGTGTATAAGCATCTTCTCGCCTTCAAACTATCCGCATAACACTTCCGAGCAACCTCCTGGTCCACCTTGAGGACTCCGACCACTCCATTAGGCAACAGATACTTCACTTTTAGGTGCGCGGTTGATACAACGGCCTCCAGTTTGTTCAACGTAGGCCTGCCGATGAGTATATTGTACGACGACTGGGCATCCACCACTAAGTATCGAATGGTCACCGTCTTCATCTGCGAGCCCTGACCGAAGGTCGTTTCTAGATCGGTGTATCCCCTAGCCATAACCTGATCTCCTGCAAATCCTACCAGAGTTCCCGCGTAAGGCACCTGTCGGTCGTTGGGGATCTTCATTCCCACGAAAGCTTCCCAAAAGAGGATATCGGTTGAACTTCCCTGGTCAACCAGAACGCGCTTCACATTATAACCCATTACTATCGTCGAAATGACGATGGGATCATCTTCGTGAGGAGCCACCCCTTCATAATCGGCATCCGAGAAAGATATTGTGGGACGCAGTGGTCGGCGAATTTCCGACACAGATAAGACAGAACGCGTGTATCTTTTCCGAGTAGCCGAGGTGACTCCTCCTCCTGCGAATCCTCCTGCCACCGTGTTGAAATCCCCATGGACTACCTGCTGATGGGTCTCCGACGAACTTGCTGGAATGTCCTTGGGGGAGTTCTCTCTCTATGCCTGTCCCTCTTTGTATCGTCCTGCGCACGCCTGTGTCGCCTATCTGACGAGCCCACTTCCAGTTTTTTCGCTACAAATTTTTTCAAGCGTCCCTCCTTGATCAAGCGTTCAATCTGTCTTCCAAGGACGAAGCAATTTTTGGTAGAATGCCCGTGAGTCGTGTGAAACTCGCACCAGTCGGTCTTGAAGGGACCCAATTGGCGCTCCGTTGTTACTGGGAATTCGAACAACGCTGCGCTGTTGACATCATGGAGTATCTGCCTCCTAGGGACGTTGAGCGGGGTAAACTTCTCTTCGTCGTTAGTACGTGTCCACTCACCCGTAGGCCGACCTCCCCTATCGGCCAGTCGGTAATTGACCTCCTTCGTGTTGTAACGATCGTGTCGCTTATTCCAATCCGACCGTGGTCGGAGATGTTTGTTGCCATCCTTACCGCTTCCCCCTGCTTCTCTGCTCTCCGTTGCCCTCTTGCTGATCTGCCCTTCCTCTGTTTTAATGTGACTCAGCGCAAAGGCTCTTACCTCCGACATCGTCTGGAAATTTGCTCTTTCCAGCGCAATGTCGAAAGCTCCAGACCTCAGGCCCTTCTGGAATGCGATGACAGCCATCCTTTCATCCAGGGATGCTATCCTCAAGGCGATCTCATTGAACCTTTGCAAAAAGTCCTTCAGTGATTCTTCCCGCTGCTGCTTGAGATCGAACAAATCTGACGTGATCGGAGGCTTCTTCTTGTTAGCGGTGAACTGTGCCATAAAGAGCCGACTGAAGACATCGAAGTCGGTGATCGATCGGTCAGGGAGGCCACTAAACCAATCAAGCGCCGCCTTCTTGAGTGTTCCCATGAACAGTTTGCAGCGGACTTCCATGCTCCCTCCGCAGATCAACATTTGAGCTCGGAAGTCCGTCAAATGCTGACTGGGGTCCTGCGTTCCATCAAAAGGTTCAACCTGGGGTATCCGATGATCCCTAGGGATGATCTCGGCTCTATAGCTTCGGAGAAAGGTCGGAATTCCCTAGGGACTTCCATTATGACGTCTTCCTCCACCGTCCTGGTACTGGCCTCTAACCTGGCCTGCATCTCGTCCGCTCGCCTTCTGATCTCTTCATTCTCGCGCTGAAATGCATCCTCTCTCTCCCTGGATCGCGCGTTCTCCTCCCTTAAGCCATTGATCATGGCCATCATCTCCTCCATGGTAGGGGGTTGTGAGTTGTTGTTGTTATTGCCGCCTCTCGCCATGGTAAAGTGTGGGTCTTCTGTATTACTTGGGGCGTAGGAAAAGTTTCACCGTAGCCCCACGGTGGGCGCCAAAATGTTCCGGCTAAAGGATGCACTAGGGTTTTTTTTCTAGGTCAAGCCTTAGAGCAGAGCATTCAAGAGTGTAATCTGCCTTCTTAGCCTTAGGGTTTTAGGTTTTATGGTGTGTCGTCGATGGGCCTCTTGGGCCCCGAGAATGAAGGGACTTTCCTAACCGTTCTTATCAGGAGGGTGCGAGATAAGTGGGGGCGAGTTTAGTCGGATTCCAACCGACTGGGTCTATACCGAGGGTCCAGTCGAGTAAATGCCGAGTAATCCCCTTATAAGTGAGGGGAATCGAATTAGCTAGTCTAATCGGGTTATGACCGACTAGGTCTGTGCTGACCCTTCAATTAATAAAATTTTCTCTATACATATGATTATGTATGTGTGTGTTAAAGTGAGTTTTGTTTCTTTTACAGAAGTTTTTTTTTTTTCCATATATATGATCAGAATTCTTGATGTATTAGGTATCTAAGACATGCTAGATTTTGTTGATATTTAAAAAAATATTAGCTAGTGAGACTCGATTTACGTCTAGCTAGAAATCAAAGTTTGATTTTGATTTTGAGAGAAATTAATTGAACTCTTCACTATTGTTTTCTAATTAATTAATATTGAGTATTGACTGACAAAAGCTTAAAACTAATAGGTGATCAAAAGATAAAGAGAAGGAAAGTAAAACAAGAACCAAATTGGACAAAGGGCATTGAATAGTAGCTCAATATAGGGTAAGCACCCACACATAGAAGAAGAAGAAAACAATATAATGATGTCTAGAAAAACAAGAAAAAGGTATATGTAGATGGAAGAGGTGATGTACTTTGTTACTGAGAGGGAGAAGGCAGTTTACATACCTATTCGTGTTGTATATATGATTTCAATTGTGCATTTTAGGGAGTAGGGACCACATCTGAAGAATCCTGCAACAGATATAAAGTAGCCAACAAAAAAATAAAGAACCGACACCAACTATAGAACCGTATAAATGTATAATATGGTCCAGGAAAGACATTTCTGAATTCTCTTGTTACGAATTGATTAACGTGGTCGCCTCATAATACACGAAAACAAAACCCTGAGAACAATAAAACGTGTGCGTGCACAGAAACAAAGTACGATAGCAGTGGTGGTAAATCTATATGTCATACCAGGTTTTTTACTTTTTTTACCAAAGAAACAGAGTACTTTAGCAGTGTATATATATATATATTATGTTTTAATTCATATCGACACCTCCCCTTTCTTCTTTTTTTATCCTTCATTTTTGTTTCCATCTTTTCTTTTTTCCCAATTAACATCTCCTTATTCTTTTTATTTTATAAATTCTATTTCTTTAAGTCCTCTTACTTGAACTAATTCTCATGATCCTACATTTAAAGAGTTTCTAAGTTATAAAATTCAAATTAAATGTTTTTTTATTATCAAATGAGATGATTTTGAAATAACAATTTGTGTTTACATTATTTAGTGGTGAAAATTCATTGTATCGTTTTGATATTGACACATAGAACACTTGAAAACACGGAAGTTTTTCATTTAGTGTTTTCTACACATAAAATTCTGTCAAGCGTTGCCACCAAAAGTTGCCCATGGCAAAAATGTGCAACAAAAACATTTTTCCTTTTCAAATTTTTGAAAGTTCAACATCTTTTAGAAAGTTTTTTTCTGTTTCAATTTTATGGCGGTGTTAAAGAGCATAGTGCTAAAAAAGTTACATGACAATTGATGACCAAGTTTAAAGCATAAACAAGTTACTTATAGTAATAGCATGAATGTACAAACATTTAATGGAATAAGTTTAAAATGTTTAAAATAATTTAACAATGATTTGATGCATCATATATATACTTAAGCCTTTTATATAGTAAGATTGAAATGATTCAACAAGTGTATGCCATTCCAAGTGTAACATCTCGTTAAATTAAGATTTTATAATAACCATAATAACAACAACAACAATAATAATAATAATAATAATAATAATAATAATAATAATAATAATAATAATAAGATACAAATAAATTTAGATGATTAGTTGGGGGATTAGTTTAGAGCTGATGACTTCTAAAACAAGAAAATTAGTCTTTAGGGTCAATGAAAAATTAATGTTTATAAATTAATCATATTACACACACTAGAGTCACACATTCTCACCTTTTCTCATGACCTAAAAAGATATAGAGAAGGAAGAGAGATAGAAAAAGGATAATGAAATCACATACCATAAAACAATCCATGGGATTCATACAGTAGAAACTCTTTAAATCAATACTCGGTAAATTAATAAACTCTCTAAAATAATAAATTTGTCCGGTCCTGACTTGGGCCAATATAAAAAATTGAAAAACTCGATAAAATAATAAGATAATAATTTTTCGGGAGATCCCTTTATAATTTTCGGTCCCAAGAAAATCATAAATTAATAATTCATAGAAACTAAAAAAATATATTACACTCTATTGAAATATGATTCAATAGTTGTCTATTTTCCTTTAAAGTTCAAGTCTATTTGGAGCTCATCTCTAACTTTTCTTATTGCATCCAATAGCTCAGGTGTTGTATTTTTGTATTGTATCATAAAGTTGTGAAGAGTGTTCGACGCATAGACTAATTTGCCTTTTTATTTGGTATGTACAGTATAATTACTTAAAAACTCTTTAAATTAATAATTATTAATTTATCGATAAATTAATAACTCTCTAAATTAATAAATTTCTCCGGTCCTGACATTATTAATTTAAAGAGTTTCTACTGTATCTTCAAATGAGTGTAGCATCTAACATGTTATCCTTTCTCATAATTGTTTGTTGTTTGTATGGTCGTTACTTAAAAGGAAATTTCATTATTTATAATTATATTTTTTGATTGAATCATTAATTATGATTATGAATATGTCAAGTTAGGGTTTAAAAAGAGACTTTATAAGTGAATTCATGATGTTATATTTTGAGGATTTAGATAGTTATATTGATGCTATATATATATATGAATGTAATAAGCATGCAAAACTTTTTATATGTATAAATATAAAAAGAGTCTCATTCTAACATGGAAGAGTATTACTCCTTAGAATCTCCAAAAGATGACAAGAATTAAAACATAACATTCCCATTTTCTCCTTTAATCCTCAAGGGTGCTATCAACATATGGTAATTAAGGGAAGGTTGTACCACAATACAAAGGAACACTCTTTATAACGTTTATTAAACTTATTGCTTGAAAATTGCATGCTTAATTATTGAAGATTATTACCACATGTATCTATATGTGTTTTACTCATTGTGCGTCTCTAGGACACTTGCTAAAATCTCATTAGTTTAATTTTAATTGTCACAAAACATGTGGATTGAGACAAAGTCACAAACATTTCTTTAAAAAAAACACGTCCATTTATTTATTTATTTTTTATCTTGACCTAAATTTTAAACCTCATGTGTGTGAGTTTGTTTTATTTTGAAATTTTATAGGGTTTTTATTTTTAATCTTGGGTTGTTATGTTTTTTTCCTTTTAATGAAATCAACATGAATTTTCGTTTTAAGTTTGCACATTTTCACTAATATATCCATGAATGTATATCAAGGTGTACCTAATATACTTTGTTGGTCATAATTTACGTTATTTTATTAGAAAGGTGTATATGAACTTTATAACTTCAAGACTCTTCGATTTAGGATCACTGATAATTAATTGATGTAAGAAAACATATAAGAGAAAAGAGAAGAAGAAAAATGAAAAATGTTAATAAAGACTAGAAAAAAAAAAGTTTATATATAGAGACTAAAAAAATAGTTTTAAGTATAGATTAAAATATAAAGATTGTAAAAATATAAAGACCAAAGTGTAAAAATAATGAAAATATATAATCTAAAATATAAAGAGTAACATATGTTAATTTCACAAAAGTTTCACATTATCCATCATTAATGACATTAACTTTTTTTAAAATCGTAAAACTCAGGTGAATTAAATGTAATTAGTCCTATATTTTTCTTTCGAAACCCTTGGTAAAAAATGATTACTAAGTATAAGGGGTAAAGGATAAAATTGGAATTAGCAAATATTTTAGAGATTAAAATAATATTTTTTTTAATTTCAATAACTAAATCAGACTGAAATTTATAATTTTAAAGACTAATTTGATACACTACTATTAAAATGCAAGCAAAGTGGTCCTCACAAAAAATAAATCATGGTTGTTTAGACCATTTAATGAAGGAAATAAAACCATTTAAAGGAATCTTTTATTATGAATTTGCAGCTGACCATTAAGGTATTGTCACATACGAGCAAGGCCGTTAGGCCGAATTGAAGAGATAAGATCGTGATGTATATAATAATATTCTATGCGTAAAAGGGGTAAATAGTTTGAAGGGAAAAACTACTCCATTCAATATATACTAGAAAAAAAATATATAGTTTTTTTTTATAATAATATTGGGAGGAAAAGGTGCTACTACATTTTTTTTATATAAATATTAATTATTTTCTGAATTTCAGCATTTGGCTCAACAACATATTATTTGCAAATGGCATGTACGTATAAAAAGTGAACAAATTATATTAAACTA